CAAAGTAATTGTAGGTCTGGTTTAATGCCAGAACTCTGAACCTGATGCATGGATGCTGCCTGCCTGGATCTGCATTTCCTTCACCCCTAGAAATCCCAGTCATGCAGCTTCCCTGAAACGTGAGCAAGTGGGAAGGAGAGGCCGGCATTATGGGGGGGCTGGAGGTAGGACCTGACCCCTTGTGACCAGGTGGGAGATGGTGATGGAGCATGAGGGGCTGTGGGCACAGGCAAGTGACTCTGGACAGAAAAGGCAAGTGTTTTAGCTCCATCTAGCGAGATCTGAGGAGCACATGAGTCTCCCAAGCGAAACGTGCATCCAGGCAGGCAGCCCGGTCCCTGGGATGTGCTAAATGCACTAGGGGAACCATCAGCCCTCACTGCAGCTTGCAAAGAGGAGACCGGGCAGCAAGGGAACATGAGTGTCCACACCGCCGATGCTAGACTGCACAGTTCTCCTATCAGTGTGGCTTAGACCTGGCCTGGAAGGATCTTTTTCTGGGGCACTCTCCATTCTGGATTTCAGCACGGCCTATAGTTTATGCTGCCGTGTTTTGGTGTCAAAGCAGAGTAAACTGTACCAGTGTGCCATGTATGTGAGGGTTATTTGCTCCAGTGCAGCTATACCGGTAGCCAAAATACTAGGGCAGACAAGGGTCGGAAGGAGGTTCAAGGGCTGTGGCTCAATGTCTCTGCAGTGACTCCAATTAAGCTACCAAGTAATGTCCCCTGTGCTGGTAGGAGTCCACCCCTGTGGGGACCGCACCAAGGTGGTCACATCTAGGGGCTGTTCCCAGCTGTGGCACTTCCACACTGTGGGACCCTGAGCAAGTCACCTCTCTGTGCTTGCACCATGGTAAGGGGGCAATGACCCATCGACCTCCCAGAGGTGACCGAACCAATGTTGTAAAGGGCTCTCAGCACCTCTGCTGAGCGGTGTCGGGTACAAGTTTTCCTCTGAGACTCTGAGTTCATTGTCAGCGCAGATCCTATTTGCTGGGCTCTTGGGACTTAGACGAAGAAACCCTATTTGAAGCGTTCGTTGTTCAGGCCTTTCATTTTGTTGTGCGCTGTCTTTTTGGGTGCCTGGTTTTGCACTGGCAGGACCAGCTGTGTAGGCAGTGTGTGAAGCAGGCTTGACAAAGCACAGACAGCTCAGGATCTCAGCGTGGAGCGATCGCTCTGAACAGGACACCGAAGTTCATTTAGCATCGTCCCCAGCGACAGGTCTGTAAAGAACACAGGCCAGTTTAAATATACTGAATTTGCCAGGATCGTAAAGCCATTTGATGACTCCTGCTGGGTGAAGGCTCGTAGGATGAGTTGTTGGCTGTAGCTGTGTTGGTCTAAGGACATTAGGCAGGCAGGGTTCTTTGGGTAAATCTGATATCCTTTATTAGACCAGCTAAAATAGTTGGAAAAATTCCTTTGCAAGCTTTCAGGTACAACAGATGATCCCTCTGCCTGAAGAAGGGTGTTTGCACCTGAAAGCTGGCAAAGAAGAATTTTTCCAACTATTTTAGCTGGTCTAATAAAAGATATCAGATTTACCCAAAGAACCGCTCCTAGGATGAGGTGTTTGAAGCCAGCTCACCAGCTCCTAAGAGTCTTCTTGGAGTTTCACATGAGCCTTGACTGCCTCTTCGTGGTCAGAAAAGAGAAAGCACGATGAGAACTCAATAGGACGTGGCAGATTTTCCCCTCCGCCTGCAAGGGGACATGCTGTGCTATCCCGGTCCAACTGGGAGTATTCAGCCATCTATAGGCACCTCTTATACACCTACAGGGAGTGCCACAAGCCTGAAATGAGCAGAGATGGGAGCACTTGATCACTAAAGCGGGCCCATCCATCGGCACCTAAAATAAACCAGCCTGCAGCCTTGCCTGGAGATTGGAGTAACCCCGGCCCCACAGCCAAATGGTCTTCTCTGTCCCCGCCACCCCAAACAGGAAAGCTCTGCCCCAGAGAGATACTGGGGCTTGCTGGGGGCAGAGACCTTCACCAGCTTCCTCCGCTGCATGAACCCCGGCAGCCTCCTTCCAGGAGTCTGAGCGAAGGGTCTCAATGGCAGCCCCCGCCGTGCGCAGGACTCTCTCTGAATGGGGGGATGTGAGTATTTCACTCCAGTAACGAGGCTTAATATTTCTAATGCCTCTTGAAGCAGTGTGATCAGGGGCCTTGCCTCGGCACACTGTGTTATCCCTCATCTGGTCTGACAGGAATCTCTCGAACTGACGGGATTCTCCCATTCCTCAGACGGGGTGAGTGCAGCTGCTTCATGTGCAGCTCACGGACCGACTCTGCATAACCTTTCTTTTGGCAGTCCCAGGGGCCAAAGCCTTTTCAGGACAAAGGCCCTCGGTGCTTAAAGTGCTTGCAAGTGATCCAAACTGCCAGCCTCTGGCTGCTTTACTGCTTCATCCAGGAAGAGCACAGACCATCTGCAGACACTTCCTCAGCCAGACAAAGGGTATTATTTGTACCTGAAAGCTTGCAAAGAAGAGTTTTTCCAACTATTTGAGTTGGTCTAATAAAAGATATCAGACTTACCCCAAAAACCTTGTCTGCCTGTGTCCTTAGACTAACGTGGCTACAACCCCCACCCCTAATGACAACAAAAGCATCTCAGTGCCTTGCCCCAGTTTGGGAGGCTCAGGTCCCCAATACCATGCTGGTGACAGGCACAGGGCCATGTCTCAGGACACTCTTGGTGTGTCTGTATTTCCCTCAGATATCAGGGCATGCAGCTATCGACCCCTCAGAGGATTTTGCAGGATGTGTTACCTGTCCCAAGATCTTTGTTTGGGCCCCACAGCCCCCTTCCCTCCTGATCCAAAAGCAAATGGGATTTAAAAGGAGGTTTAAAAGAAGGCGGCCAACCTCCTGCACTTCTGCACAGTCACATAAGCAAGGGCATTCACCAGTCTCTGCTGCGGCTGAGCTCAGGTCTCACAGCCCTGTAAGCTTTAAACAAATACAGGGTGCAAGGCTGGGCATGGAGAGGGAAGCCAAGGGGAAAGAAATGCACCGTACGTGTAAGTTCCAGATTTCTCTGGAGAGCCATTTACATGGCAGGGTATGATCCAAATTCAATCCAGAACATGTTAGTGCTGGAGATGACGGTAGCAGAGATAAACCTGATAACATTTGATTGCAAAGCTTCTCCATAAGCACCATATTAAAATATCAAATGCCCTCCTTTGTAAGTTATTGTGAAGGAAATGAGATGTTATTTCTAATGCTGTTTACATAGCTGTGAGACGGCAAATGTGAGCCCTAGCAAATCGCGTTGTATTGTTTTGTTACTATCAATTACCACAAACCCAGAGACACGTAATGTAATCCAAGGGCTTGTCATTAATTACAGTAATTTGTAAGGGGGATTGCATGGCTCAGGGGTGCAGTAATGGGATTAGAGTAGCTTGTGTTATGGAAAAACTAAACCAGAACACAAAATATAGGCTCACTTAAAAGCATATCCTGGGGTACTGGTCAGGAATGGAAATGGGCTGAGTGCAGGGGAAAGGGACAGGTGAAACTACTAAGACCTGCTAATTGGAAATGCTGAGATGACGTGTGTTTGTGCTCCGGATCCATGTGCTCCTCCTTGCAGGGGAAGAGGACAAGCACAAGAGAGATGGGAAAAGGCACAGCTCCAGGCAGGATGGCACAGCTCCGTCCTGTGTTCTTGCCAGACGGAGCCAACTAACAAATGTGCAGGGAAAAATTTGATGTAGAGGTGGTGGCGAGATGGATCAGGTCTCATCTTGGGCAGCCCATGGGGGATCAGGGCAGGATTATATCCAGAAGTTGATTTCCTTGGTTCACCAGAGGGTAAACGGTAGAACATGGTCCGGTTAAGATTTACAAGCCCCTCACCCATGTCCTGGGGAACTACCTTCCCCTTAGGTATCTTTGGACATGAACCTGGGGATTTGGGGCAGCTGCTGGGTGAGGATGTCGCTCCTCTCCACAGCTGTATGAACAGCCAGCTGCAGGGAGCACGGCCCGAGCCCTGCAAGGGTCACACCTCTGACAAGGGCAGGATGGGGACCAGCACGCCTAAATGTGTGCACAGCCTCTTGCTCTGCATGTGCTGGAGGCTGGCAGTAACCGGGGCCTGGATCAAATGCAGAGGTGTAGCAAGTGCTGGTCCCAGGGCCGGTGGTGACACTCAGCCATTGCACTGCACCTCTCATGGCTACTCCTAAGCACAGGCACTTTGCCTATGCGGGCTATTCCTGGGCACTGTATCCTACCCTATCAGACTCAGATCTCCAGGATCCTTTGCCATGATCCCTGGGCTTCTTGGGAGCAACAGCCGTGGGGAGTCTCTCTGGCTCCTCTCACACATCACACTGCAGACGGATGCACAGCTCACAGGGCATGTTGCCTCTTTTGTGTCCAAAGTTTAGAGGACCACACGTGTTGCAAAGAGCAAGTTGAACAAAAGTCATCGAGGTGCGTGCCCCTCTCATGCACTTTCATGCTTTATCTGCAAGCAGCAAAACCCAGCACCAGTAGCCGCAGCCTCCCAACACACATAGGAATGACGGTATGCAGAGCAGGGATAAACAACGCTGCCGTAACACAAGTGTGACTGTGTAACAGGAGCAGGGTCACACTGGGGAACATTGCTCCCGAGTATAGCGTGACTTGGGTGCAGCCTGCGGTTCTGACAGTCCTTGTTTAATGCGGATGGAAAGGGTGAATGCATTCCCTGGCCCGGATGAAGCGCACGAATGCCACAGTGAGGCATAAGAGAGCTTTTGTGCTGCTGATGTTGATCTTTGTATGAACTTGCGCTCTCTCCTCGCTGCTCTCATGTCCACGATGGGGAATTTGGCCAAGGGTCAGAAGTCCCTTGCTGTGCACATGCATATGCTGTGATGCTGCCAAGGGGGCGGCTGATGGGATGGCCTTGAGCCATTAACTATTCACATCACTCTGTGACCGCTGCAACCTTGGGTTCCCTAAGGATGGGCCTGGGGTGTCCTCCCCCTTCGGCTCAAAGGGCAAGTGGGGATTGTTAACAGCCGGCTGCAACCCTAAAGTGACCATCTGAGGTATAGACAAGCTACAAGGAGCTTTTCAGTGTCAGGGGCACAAAGGGGTTAAAAGGCTGAGTGCAGATGGGATAATACAAGCCCCAAGAACAGACTCAGGCAAGAATAGAGCAGAGCCAGGGAAGAGCCAGGGCAGAGCAAACCCATGGCTGCCTTCACGGGAGGGGAGGTCTACAAGGCAGAGTTCGAGCCCACGGCGTACCTGGAATACTTCAAGTTTGGAGGAGGCACCTTGGGGGATGAGTTCCTCACATTTGTCCTGAAACACTACTGCAAAACCTTCACTTCTGGTAGGTCCTTCCCAAAGCCCTGGGCACTCTTGTCTTCTCTTGGCCAGACAGAGGCACGACCAGCCAGGCACTCAGAGAGGAGACGGGGTGGGAGGTTGCACTGCCCGTGCGACGTGCTTGTGGTCTGCAGTTGCTAGAGACAAGTGTCTCAGCCGTGTGACAAACAGTTCTTGGGCAGTTCACCAAGTTTGTCTTGCTGCCCACAAGCTTTTGTGCAAGTGATTTCCCAAGGGCTTTCCAGCTACAAAGCACAGCAAAAATGCCAAGTGTTCATGCTTAGCCTCTGAACAGGGTGCAGAGCATTGGAGAGCTTCTCCCACCCTCCCCTCTCATGCATTGCCTGCAAAAAATCAGGCACTGGACTTTTCTTAGGAAAATGATGCCCCGTGTCCACACCACCACCCTCCTGTTGGACTCTAGAGCAGTTGCCCTCCTGTCAGCTCTCTGTGCCCCCTGCTCGTCCTCATCCCTTAAGCAAGGGGTGATGTTGTGAACTCCTGCCCTGCCTAAAGTGCCTGGAGATCCGTGAGCAGAGAGGAGAGGCTATTCAGCGCCCTCGCTGTCCTGGAGCAGATTGTTATATAGCAGATTTCCCCTTCTCCTTAGACTGTCATGAAGCCATCCCTTGAACTAAAGGGTTTTGAAGGAATCTGATATGGGGGAGTAAGTGGGATATGCCTGTGGGATTGCAAGTGCAGCTCTGCCCAGACACACATCGCTGCTTTATTAATATCAGGTGGTGTAAGCCCAGAGGCAGGCAGGGGTAACCTAGAGATTGGCCTTTCTCATAGCATTTGCAAAGGGGGTTGCAAGAGTCAGGGTGCAGCAATGGGATTGGAGGCACTTGGTTTTATGAAATAATTAACGCTGAATAAAAATGCTCACCTAGGTGCAATAGAAATCATGTTTTGGGGTATGGTTCATGGACTGAAAGAGGCTGAGTGCAGGGGGAGCAGGAAGGAGAAACTGCTAAAACTCAAGCATTGTGATGCCTTGTTTTGGTTCTTTATCAGTTCATTTCCGCAGCCCCTGGAAAGGAAGGAGCACCCGTAAAGCAGAGCAAGAATCAGGAAAGGCTGCAGCTTTAGCGGGGCTGCTTGTCCCCTGCCTCTGCTGGAGGGCATGCAGCACGGGGAAGAGGTGATGGTCATCTTGAACCATTCTTTAACCCCAACCAGGTGCTGTGACAGGCCACACCCTGATTGATATTGGCAGTGGACCCACCATTTACCAGCTGCTTTCTGCCTGCGAGTCATTTAAGGAGATCATTGCTTCAGATTATATGGACCAAAATTGCCAGGAGCTGCTGAAGTGGCTGAAGAACGAGCCCGGAGCATTTGACTGGACTCCGGTGGTGCAGCACGTGTGTGAGCTGGAGGGAGACAGGTACCAAGCTGCCATCGAAATCCCATGGGTTTAAGCCTGCCTGTGAGAATCCACCCAAATTTCAGGCAGGGTGGGGCAAAATGGCTTTCAAAGCTCCCCCATTTATTAAATCCTTCTCCAAGGGAATGGAAAGCAGAGACACAAAACCCACGTGCCCATTTCTCAGATCTGTATCCTGGGGGAGGCATTTAAAACACACCAAAACAGATAACCTCTTGCTTTCCTCTTCTCTCTTTCCTCGTCTCTCTTTAGGAACAAATGGGCTGAGAAAGAGGGGAAGTTACGAGGAGCCATCAAACGCGTCCTAAAATGTGATGTCCACAAAAGCAACCCCTTGGATCCCGTTGTCCTGCCTCCGGCCGACTGCCTGGTCTCATCGCTGTGCTTGGAAGCTGCCAGCAAAGACCAGAGCTCCTACCGCGCCGCTCTGAGGAACATCAGCTCTCTGCTAAAGCCAGGGGGGCACTTGGTGCTGAGTGGAGATTTGGGCAGCAGTTTCTACATGGTCGGTCCCAAAAAGTTCTCTTGTTTGGCCCTGACAGAGGAATTTTTAAGGGAGGCTCTTAATGCAACGGGCTTCACCGTTGAGACGGTTGAGGTTCTCTCCCGGGCTGACGTGGCCCAGCACGACATCTGTGATTTCTCTGGGATGTACTTCATTGTCGCCCACAAAAATTAAAGTGATTAAGTCCCTTGGAGAATTTGGGGAAAATTGTCCCCAGTGGGAAAAGAGAATCTTATGAAGGCTTCATTCTCTTGCTGGTCATGGCTCTTTTCTCCTTTAATTGTTGTGCATTCCCCATGATGACAGGGAAAGATTTTCCTACGTGCCCTTAATTTGGACTGACGACGTTTACCCCCATAGAGGGGCAGTTCGAGGCAATAACTAGCAGACCCTAATTGGTATCTTGGCCTTGATCTGTACTCATTCCTTGGAATGGGATTGACTGGAATTGATGGAATTCGGGATTTATGAGCAGAAAAGTCAAGTTGTCACATAGCCTGAGTGGAAACTATAGGGGTTTTCACCTTCTTCTGTAGCAGCAGACATAGTTCTTTTTCCTTGGTGCTCTCTAGCGTATTTTAACAACCACTTCTTGTCCTTGCAGCAGCAGGACATTGCCAGTGCCCTTGCCCCCCTGCTTTACCAGGCTAGGGTATTCTTGGTATTTTGGGGCTATGGGCCAGGTAGTAGGGTTGCTCGTCCAGCTTGTTTTGGGGCTATGGGCCCAGGCACCAGGGTTGCTTGCCCAGCTTTAAGAACAGGTTAGGCTAATGCTTGTCTGGGATGCTTTACATGATCCTGTCTTGAGCAAAGGGTTGGGCTAAACGACCTCCTGAGGTCCCTTGCAGCTCTTCTTTTCCATGATTCTCCGAGTGAAAAGATGATATAGGCTCGTGCTGGCTTCTCTTTGGGCCGCAGGGCAGCTGCTTTGCTTATCTGGTGACCACAGCTCCAGACAGCAGCCCTGTTTGAAATGGGTGGGACTACTTGAGTGAGTAAATACTCAGCTGTGTGGATGAGAGCTGGCAGGCTCTTTGGGTAGATGAGATAGCTTTTTTTAGACCAGCTAAATAGCTGGAAATATTGTTCTTTGCAAGTTTTCAGGCACATACACCCTTCTTCAGGCAAGAGAGACTCTGGATACCGTGCCCATTTCAACAGTGGCACCCGATACTTAGTTGCTGCAGCAACAAAACAAAATAAAATTCCTTTGCAGTAGATAGTCCAGTAGAAATATGCTGATTAACATGCCTTAAATTTTGGGATTCTTGAACGCTTTCTGCACACCCTGTCCTTTTGGCCTTGGCATTTTCTGAAGCAAACCTCCAGGAAACCACTTAGTGAGAGGAATGCTGTTCTCTGTCGTGGTGGTTGTCCTTGTTCTTGCTCTCCACATTTTTGGCATCTCCAGGTAACTCAATGGATGCTGCTCAAGTGTTTGTCAAATGTCACATTACTTCTCGAAATTAGCTGCATGAAAAATGGAATCTTTTTCCCTGCAAAAAAGACAGCTTTATTAAATATTCCCAGTGATGAACATGAGAGACTGACTCTACTAGACCTAAACCAATGTATTATGTGTGGCTTTGCATTGTTTCCAATAAATGCAAAATTGTTCTCTAACTGTACTATGTCATCCTTTTCCTCAGGTTTATGAGTTCCCTGGAAATGTGCATCACCCATGTCCTTCCCAACCACATTGCCAGGACACCACAATTGCAGCGGGGATAGACATTTTTTACAGTTCAGGGATTTGAGGTATAGAAAATTTGGATAGTCCCAAGAAGTAACACTCCTCCATTTCTTACCCTTTGCCTCAGTTTGCTCATGCAAGGTGCTGGGGGTAGGGTTGTGCTCAGACTAAAGGTCTTGTTCACAGGAGCTGGCAGGAAGTAAACTGCACATTCACTGCAGCCTGGCTGCAGAGGTAGCTGGACATTTGACCAACTTAGATATCCAACAGCTACTCCCAAAAGCTTTGAACCCCATCCCCTGCACAGAAGCCCTGGAACCCATTTTCTTTATCTTCCTAGAAACCTCTATGGTGATTCTGGGGTTGTGCCAATGGAAAAAGAGGGCTGATGGTAAGGGATGTTCAGTGGAGACCCTTCATCTTGTGCTCACCAGACTAAAATATTCAGGGCTCAGATACTATAAAGACATCAGTCTTCACAGCTATAACTTCATGTGGGTGAGATAGACAGATGCTGTGATGCTGAGAATATTGCCTCTGGCTTCAGCTGTGAGGTTCAGGGTTGCCAAAGTATTTTGCCATCCTCTGAGGGGAAGATGCTGCAAGAGGACACAGGTTACAAGCTTTCCATGAAGATGCATGTTTTATTCTGGCTGCTGTAGTAGTGTAGCATGCACCACATGGGCTGATTAGGCTATTTCATTGCTTAAAATACATTCTCCAGACATAGTGTGTGTGATGACCTACATGCTCCTGGAACTGAATTAGAAATTACCTTTCCTTTGCTCTGCTGCCGGTCTGCCATGCCACATCCTTTTTGGCATTAGGGAGGAATTTTCCCCCATGGTCAGATTGGTATGGACAGTGGGGGTTTTGCCTTTCTCTATAGTGAGGGATGTGGTCTCTACCCAGGACCTCTTGATCATATAGAGGCAACATCTAAAAGAAGCTGTGGTTCCCCTGCTTTATTAGCGGCAGGTTGGGATGCTAGGTCTATGTTGCATCAGGGTTGGAGGTAGTCTTAGGTAGAGTCTAGATCATGATTGTATGGGATGGTTTGGATAGGGATGATCCTGCCTCAGGTAGCGGGTTGGACTCGATGGCCTCCGGAGGTCCCTTCCAGCCCTATTGCTCTATGACTCTTTGGTTTATGACTCTGTGCTCGTGTCCTCAAGCTTCTTATGGAAGGAGAGTGAACTGAATTTCCTTCCAGCCTATTGTTATTAACTTCTTGCAGAGCTCCAGCAGCTGCATCAGTCTGGAGTTCAAGCCGCTGTTTAAAATCAGATGCGACAGGCACATGCGCACACAAACCAGGAAAAGAGGAACAGCCAACTATAAATCTAAAACAACACTGAGCTCCCACAGTCAACAAGCTCTGCCTTTGATGCTCACGGCACTGAAAGTGTTAAAAGGCTCCGCTCAGATCCTGGGTGGTTTTGGGCTGGGTTTGTAGTCAGGAGTCCTTTTGCAACCCTTGGACACGGGTTGTACAAACGCCAGAGAAGGATCATGGCTGAGTTAACAGAAGAGCATGTTCTTGAAGCAGACTACGATCCCAAGGCGTACATGGAATTCTTTAACTTAAATGAAAACAGCTTGGAGTACGAGTTCATCAAGTTTGTGCTAAGACATCACTACAAAACCTTCACCCCAGGTAAGTTCCCAGGAAGCTGCCCTGACTATCCCAGCACAGAGCTAAAGGGAAGGGACCGTCTTTTCTGATCTCCCGTGCAGCAAAAACTTTCACATTTCACCCAATCGCCGTTTTCTTAAGGCTACAGACTTCAGTTATGCCCAAACACCCCGGTCCTTGGGAGACTAAACTGCGTGTTGCAGCGGAGAATGCCCGAACCTGGGAGCAGGCAGTGCCGAAGCCTCTGTTAGGGCTGCCTGTTGGTTTGGTGCAGGCTGGGATGTGTTTTTGTGCTTAGTGTCACTCACTGTCATGCAAAAAGAAGGGATCAGACCACAAGATTCCTTCTTCTCAAGGCGTGCTCTTCACTGGGCCATGAGCTCAGATTCTTAGGGACTCAGGACCGACCCCCGTAGCGTCCCCATGCCTCTCCTAAACCATGGATACCAGAACTGGACCTGGCAGCTTTGCAAATTGTTGGTTTCCCAGTTTGTTTGCAGGACCAAAAACAAAAGGAAAAAAAAAAATCCTCATTGCTTTTGACCTTTTCCAGGGTTACTTAGTAACATGGAGCTACCTGTCTAAACAAAAAGGCTGCCTTGAAATAAAAAAAGGTTCATGCTTGGGTTAAAAAGTGCCAGGACAACCTGAGTGAGAGGAAAGTTCCCGATCTGGTTCTGCTTTTGTTGCTGCAAACCAGTTCTGTCTGAAAGATTTTGTCCAGCTCTGCTGAACACAGGGTGGTGGCGAGTCATATTAGTGTTGCATAGAGGAGTAGCATTGCTTCCTGCTTCCAACCTCATTTGTACTCAGCCAAGAACTGACTGCATTGACCTGTACTGCCTCGGTGCTGCACTGAAGGCTCATGTTGAGGCAAAGTCCTTCTTGGAGCCACTGCTTTCTAAGGGAAGCTACTCCCCTCCAGGGTTTGCCGTTCCCAGGCGTATCACCTTGCACTGGAGCACGTGTTGTGGATGCTGATCCAGGACACAGAAACACGAGCTGGATTTCCTCGTTGTCTACTACCCCACCCCAAACACTGCTCCACCTGCAAATGTGACAGGCAGAGGTTTCAGATCATAAATTTTAGACATGAATTGTGTTATTAAAGAGCATTGAATCCGAGCCTGGCTTCCAGGGGGAGGGGGCCTCCAAAGACCTGATCTACTCAACAGCATCTCCCAATCAACAGCTATCAGTATGTTTTGAGATATCTCAAAATCCACCTCCCGTTAAACCCATATACACGTGAGTTCCTTAATCAAGATATCACCGAATGCCTGGAGAAATCCAAGTGTGTGATATCAAAGTTGTCTTCTCAGCCTGACTTGTAATCTGTAAAATGAACACTTAACACTGAGCATCCAACATCAAGTGTCTCTGGCTGCAACATAGGAAGCGTTAAAAGGCTTGGTTTAGATGCTGAGTGATGATGGGCTGGGTTGTTTATATAAAACAGGCAAAATAATGAAAAAAAGAACAGGTCGGGTTAACTTAAGCTCCTGCCATCTGGCAGGAATTGTATTTTTGGCTCTGATTTTGTTGACAGAAGCCTGGTCCCAGGATTGGCCTCAAACTGACACTCCCCACCCCTTTACTTTTTTTTTTCTAACATTGGAGCTACAGTGATTGGCAAAAACTTTGAAATTCCCTTCATTTCTCAATTTTTTTTTTTGAAAAAATAGCATTAGTAGCTCAGAAGAGCTCTGTTCTGTGGGTCATAGACTGAGAAATTTGTGAAAAAATAACATCAGGAGAGTGTGGGCTGTCTTCTGGGTTGAGCTGCTGAGGTATTTTGCAGTGAACTGTTTTCTGAGTCAACAAATATTCATTCACCAGAACTGGAAATTTTCACAACATTGCATCCATTTTGATGGAATTTTCAGCATTTTTTTTTGAATGATTTCATAGAAATAGATGCTTTCTACCCTGATTTGTTTGTAACAGGAGGGGCAAAGTGGAAGGAAGCACAACAGTTATTAGTGTAATCCTTCCTATCTCATCTGAGTGCAGCTTAGCATGAGAAAACCTCTGCTTTCACCTGCTATACAAGGTGGCAGTAAGGACCCATTAGCTAGAGGGCAGGAGTATGGTGAAATGAAACAAAATCAGAAAAAATAACATGTGTTCAGGCAGAGCCTGTATTTTCTGCACTCTTCCTGGAGGGAAAAGGAAGCTGCATGAACTAGCCGGAGAACTATTTCATACAGAGAAACAAGAGGCGTATTAAGTCACACAGAGTGCAACTGCCAGGGACCAGCATTATTTCTCCAGCAGCATTTGTCCAGTTGTCTACTTTTCCACATATTTAGATGGAGAATTTAAAGCTACTGATGGTGTTTAGGGAGAGACCTTCCATTAGATGCTGGGGGGTGTCCAAATTGCAAAAAATGTCTGTGAAAATCTCAAGATAACCATACAAGAGTTGGAGAGAATTTGGAGAATATAGTGCAGTGCCCTACAACCAAATATCGACATGTCCTCTCTCAGGGGTGGGGAAGTGTACCCAGATTTGGGGTACACTGCCTCTGCTCCGGGCCCAGCAGTTTGCAAACACTAGAGAGCTCTCTTCATCTCTGTGTAGCTGTTTGCTGCACTCATCCAGGTTGATCTACAGGGTCCCTCTGCCTCTATGGATAACCCCGATTTAATTTAACCAAAAGTTATTCAGTTCTTGTGGTCATAATCTGAGGACAGACTGGTTTAAGGCCAGGGGGACTTGGGTTGGGGTCCTCAGTGGAAACAGGTGTGATATTTTAGGTTGGATATTAGGAAAAAACTCTCTCACAAGGAGAGTGGTGAAGCACTGGGGCAGGTTACCCAGAGAGGTGGTGGAGTCTCCATCCTTGGAGGTTTTGAAGACCCGGCTAGACAAAGCCTCAGATGGGATGATGTAGTTGGGGCTGGTCCTGCTTGGAGCAGGGGTTGGATTGATGTGACCTCCTGAGGTCCCTTCCAGCTCTCATTTTTTTATGATTCTGTGAAATTAATTGGAAAAAAATACCGTAGCCCAGCATTACTGGGATTCCCTTGAACTTGGATAAAACTCAATGAGCTCCAAAATTCTCTGTCCCAACCCAGGTGCCGTCAAAGGCGACACTCTGATTAGCATCAGCAACAGCCCTGCGATCTACCCGCTTCTCTCAGCCTGTGAGACCTTCAAGGAGATCATCATTGCAGACTGCAGGGACCAGAATTGCCAGGAGCTGCAGAAATGGCTGAAGCAGGAGCCTGGAGCATTTGACTGGTCTCAAGTGGGGAAATACATGTGTGAACTGGAGGGAGGCAGGTAAGGGATGGAAGCTCATCCCCATGCCCCTAGCATGCCGCAGAGGTCGGTCTAGAGAGGGGCAGCTCCACTCTTTGATCAAATGGGACACACAAAGAGGCAAACTTTGTTTTGGACAGCCCAGAAGAGCCTGCAGCAAAGGCAGAGGGAGATGTGGGCAGAAATGCCAGGGGGACAAAGGGAGGGAGAAAGAGGTTTCTTTTGGGGACTTCACAGTTTTTCTAGAGCCCCGGGATTGAGCACAACATCCTTTGAAACTATGGTAGTGAGTAAACTTGCCTCGATTCAGCAATTGGTGTGAAACCCTGGCAGGGGCTGACTGGCTAAAATGCTGCCAACGGCCCAAGGTCCACCAGCAAACTTGGGAGGAGCTGGAAGCAGCATTTGGGGCTTGTTGTGGGGTAGGTTTAATTGTATTTGCTTCCCAAACCCTAACAGAGGTGTCCAAAAGACTCAGGAAATCGATGTCACTGGGGAACTCTGTCTGCTTACAATGTGCACGGCTCCATCATGGTGCGGAGGCATGAAAAGACTTGTCAGTCAATACCTCGTTCTTTCCTTTAGGCACAAGTGGACTGAGAAAGAGGGGAAGCTACAAAAAACCATCAGCCATATCCTAAAATGTGATGTCCACGAAAGCAAGCCCCTGGGTCCAGATGTTCTCCCTCCGGCTGACTGCCTGGTGTCATCATTTTGCTTGGAAACAGTCTGCAAAGACCAGAGCTCCTACCGCGCTGCTCTGAAGAACATCAGCTCTCTGCTAAAGCCAGGGGGACACCTGGTGCTGAGCGGAGATTTGGGCAGCAGTTTCTACATGGTTGGTCCTAAAAAGTTCTTCTGTTTGGTTCTGACAGAGGAATTTTTGAGGGGGGCTCTTAGTGCAGCTGGCTTTGCCATTCAGGAGTTTGATGTCCTCTCCAGGGATGACGACACCATGCAGGAAATCTGCGATTTCTCTGGCATGTACTTCATTGTCGCCCGCAAAGAGAAAGCGATTTAAGTCCCTTGGAGAATAAGTGGGACACAAAAGGATCCCTCTAAAATAGAAATTAAAATTAAATTAATTAAAAAGCTACATTATGCCCCAGATGATGCATATATTCCTGCTTAAAATGTGTTTCACCCTTTCCTGTGAAAATACAAACATCTCCTTAAAAAATGAGAAATTGCAGCATTTGCATGCGAGTGGAAGTCCCCATTAGACAGGAGAGGAGCGCAGACTCTCAGGTGTGATGCTAGTGTCTTATGACCCTGAACAACAGGAGCAACATGAAAATTGCCTTGAGAGTGGCCAGGGTGTTGCTTCCACATGTACTAATCATGAATTGCTTATGCCAGTCTAGATCTTTTCAGGCCCTGGGTTCCTCAAGCTCTTGACAAACCTTTCACCATGTCTGGAAGGGCACTGTATATGGGCACCCAAGATGTGCCCTGTGGTTTTTGGTCCAATGCCTGGTTTGTCTGATCCTAGGCTTTGATAACAGGAGGCACCAATGCAAGGAACAGGAGAGGAAGTGGGTTGTGGGTCGGATGGTATTTGTTGTTTCTTGCAGAGAGTGATTTGCCCTCTGGTCTGCATTGAAAACAATCAAATAATCAATTAGATCGGCTTCTTAGAACTAATTACACCTGCCTGAAACACAATAGTCCGCTTTAACTCTTGCATAGAAAATGCTCATATCCAGTATAACATGCAAACTATTTCTGCATGGAGTTCTCATCTACGAATCAATAAAACAGAACTGGAAACTTTTGCCAGTTTGGAGGAGTTATTTTGCAACCCTCCCCCCACCGCCCCCGCTTTTTTTTGCTGCTTTCTAACTCATCTAATACCAAGAGCCCTGTTTGGCATGAAGCAAACCCAGAGAAAGCTGCCAGCCCTTAGGTGCCCCCAGCACAGTCTGTCTGGCGCCAAGCTATAGCGCTGTTTGCTGTCCCAGCGGGCAGTTCCCATGCCACTTCACCAATGCATCTCACCCACCCAATGCAACCCATCCCATCGCACAGGGCACAGTTTCTTCTCCGTCCTGTTCTGAAGCCTGTGATATATCAAGAAAAATGCCATCACATGTTAACTACCAAGTGCCTACTTCACAGGCATCCCTAGGGAGCTCAGAGACTTCTGGATCTTCCTCCTGGTTCAGTGAGTTGCACTCCTACAGCCAAAATGAATCCCCCTCCTCCTGACTATGGGGCGTCACTTTACAGCCATGAAAAGTTACTCATGAGGATGATAAAACACAGGGAGCAATGCCCACAGTTGCTCACAAGGATGGTAAAACCAGGGAGCGATGGCCTGTCCTACAGCCCTCTGCTGCGGTGCTGGAAGAGAGATGAGTTTTGACAAGTATTCAGCAATCCCACATATCACTGCTTTCCTGACACACACAGGCATCTGTAGGCCACTTCCATCCTCCAACCCCCCCCAGCAATAGCTCGCAGCCCCAGCACGCTGTTATAGTAACACTCGTCCCATAGCCTCTGTATCCAGTCCTTAAGAAAGTTGCTGAAGCAGTTTTACAAGGGAATCACCTGTAAATACTGTGTCCAGTTTTGGGACTCCCACTGCAGAAAGGATGTGGACAAGTTGGAGAGAGTCCAGTGATGGGCAACAAAAATGGTTGGGGGGCTGAGGAACA